ATCCTCCCCACCGCCTTCCCGCCCTTTTCACCTCAGGGTTTTGGCTGAAGCGAAGCAGCTACGAGGAGCAGCCGACTGTGCGCTTCCAGCACCAGGTACTGCTCCTGGCCCTGCTAGGACCCGAGCGCGGCGGGTTCCTCGCCTGGAGCACGTTCCCCGCCTTCAACCGGCTGCAGGGGGATCATCTGCGCGTCCCGCTCATTTCGGTGCGTGGTTCCGGCCGGGGCCCAGCTGCCCACCCGGACTGGGTGGAGGTAGGGGCGGGAGCGGGGGTAGGAGAGGGCGAGCGCCCGGCCCCGTGGGATCCCCAGCTTAGGTCTTCAGGGTCCTCGATCCCACGGTAAGTTGTGTACACAGGCTCAGTGGTTTGAACATAGGCTTAACTTCCTGGGGAGTAAATCTCTTATTTCATTCGCTTTCTCCAAACTGCCCGTAACCCCAAGAAAGTTAGCAGCTGCTGTCAGCGTGCTACCTGGCACCGAGTCCAGAAGCCTGCGGCCGCCTGTTTGCAGCCCCGTCATTTCCGTGGGCTGCCTGATAGAAAGGTGGTCGCGAAAGCTCCGCTATGGGTCATGAAGGACCAGCAGTGTTCTTGTTGCAACCCTTAGTGCTACTGCAATTGTACATCCAAACACTCGGAACGGAAGGAGCAGGCATTTTTATGCAGGCTTGACCCTGGGAAGCCCCGATTGGTTACACGACCTCCGGGAATGCCCTCCCGCCTCCCGGGCTGTCTTATTAGATGCCTCTGTTCCATCTTGTAGCTGTCCAGAAGGAAAAGGAAGCATTCTACTGTCTGTAATTTAGTATTCGGTTCAGGTGAGTGCTTCCTTTACAAACACTCATGTTTTGAAAACATTTCCCTTTAGAAATATGAAAATTCTGGTTTCCTTCTTCCAAAGTTTAATCTCAGCAAACATCTCTGAGATTATTGGCCTGCAAGCCAAACTTGTGTAGCTGGAAAAAAAAAAATTCAGACTTTTTTTTTTTCCAGCAACTAAATAAAATGGAAAAAAATTAAATCTGATTAGTTATATGAATAACGACACACAAAATACTACTCAAGTTTTTTTCTGATTACATTTTCTTATATTTTTCTGATTATAAAATTGCATGCTTATTGTAAAATGTTAAAGTTACTGGTATATATAATGACATAAAATTAAAGGCTCAGTTTGGGGTATGTATCAATACTTGTTAATCAACATTATTCTTTTTAAGATTTACAAGGTATTTCATGATATGGAACAACTGTGATGGATTTGACCAGTTCCCTGTTAGTGGATATTTGATTTGATTTCACTTTTTCACTATTAGAATATTGCCATGAACAAGTTTTTTTTAAAAATATGTTTTTATTGATTTTAGAGTGAGAGGAAGGGAGAGGGATAGATAGAAACATCGATTGGCTGCCTCCTTCATGCCCCCCACCGGAGATCGAGCCCTTCCCAGACATAATCCCTGACCGGGAATCAAATTGGTGACCTCTTGCCCAACCCGGTTTGGCTCAGTGGATGGAGCGTTGGTCTGTGGACTGAAGGGTCCTGGGTTCGATTCTGGTCAAGGGCACATGCCTGGGTTGTGGGCTCGATCCCCAGTGGGGGCTGTGCAGGAAGCAACCAATCAATTATTCTCTCTCGCCATTGATGTTTCTATCTCTCTCTCCTCCCTTCCTCTCTGAAATCAATAAAAATACATTTTTTGTAAATCTTAAAAAAAAAATGGTGACCTCTTGGTTCATGAGTCGACACTCAACCATTGAGCAACACTGGCCCAGGCATGAACTAGATTTTGAATAAACATCAAATTGTGAGGAATTTCAATAGAAGCTGATTGTTGAAATTGTATAAGTAAATAGAAAACTAAGCAAGCAAATAAAATACTTATTAACTTTAGAGAAATAAAAAATAAGGGAAAAGTGAGAAAGGTCATTAAAGTTGTGAATAGGATTTACAGTGAAATGAGAGTTTAACTCTATTGGTGGGATGGGAAGGGTATGTGTGTGGTGGAGGCTGGTGGGTGGTGCATTTTATAATTGATTTGAGGCCCGGTGCACAAAAATTTGTGCACGGGGAGGGGTGGGGGGGGGGTGTCCCTCAGCCCCACTTGTGCCCTCTCACAGGCTGGGACCCCTCAGGAGATAACCACCTGCTGGCTTAGGCCGGCTCCCTGGGTGGCAGATAGCAGGCCCGATCCCTCGGTGCCTGCCCCGCCGCCCCGGGTCGCGCACAGGGCAGGGCCCATCCGGGGGTTGGGGTGCCACCCCGGGTCAGGTCGCACACGGGATGCCCAGGCGGGCCGGTGGATCGCTGCTGTCCTGCCCAGCTGCCCCTGGTTGGGTCGCACACGGGACGCCCCGCCGCTACAGGTCAAAGATAGCAGGCCCGGATGGTGGCAGGGCAGGCAGGATGGCGCTGTCCCACCCTTGGTGGCTAATTTGCATATCGCATTGATTAGCCCATGGGAGGCATGGCAAAGGTACGGTCAATTACCATGTTTGTCTATTATTAGATAGGATGACATCTTAGACTCATTGAAATACAGGTAGTAAGGATTTGATGAGTCTAGGAGTCCTGAAGTAGTGGTTCCTATTTTTAGGAGACCCAAAGAGTAATGCCAAAGAGTATTTTCAGCACAAAAAGAAAAAACCGGAACATTCAATGACAAATATATGGTAAAATGAACACTGGTATAAACTAGGAAATTAACCTTTATAATAAAAGAATATTGCCCTGACCGGTTTGGCTCAGTGGATAGAGCGTCGGCCTGCGGACTCAAGGGTCCTAGGTTTGATTCCGGTCAAGGGCACGTACCTTGGTTGCGGGCACATCCCCAGTGGGGAGTGTGCAGGAGGCAGCTGATCGATGTTTCTCTCTCATCGATGTTTCTAACTCTCTATCCCTCTCCCGTCTTCTCTGTAAAAAATCAATAAAATATATTTTTTAAAAAAGAATATTACTCGACAGAATGAACGGTGTAAAAACAAACAATGAGATACTTGGTGGGGAAAATATTGCAAGTCAGGGCATTTGGAAACAATTGCACTCCTTAATTTATAGCAACTCTTACAGTCAGATGGTGCATTGTTTTTAGTCTTGTGTCAGCTCCAAAGCCGCTCTCCTATCTCTGCTTTGTGATGCTCACACTGAGATGATGAAAACCACATTCTCTTCTGCCCACTGACTCCCTGTTAGGCTCTGCCAGTTGGAGGCATGACGAGCCTTGTTCTAGGAGTAGGAAAAAACTAGAAACTGCAACCAGTTTGGAAAAAACCAGTAGGAAAAAACCAGGAACTGCTACTGCCAGTTGAAGAACCAGTGCCCGGGTGATACAAACAGGAAAGAATAAGTCTTTCCTCCAGCCTTATCAATTCCCTCTCATGGTTTCCTCCTCCAAAGCTCTAGAGGTATCAGTGTCAGCTGGGAAGCGCTTCCTTCCTGAGGGCTGAATCCCAGCTCCTGGAGGTAATGCCAGCCTCTTCCCTTCCTGCTCCAGCTCCAGGCTCGGGAGCTGCTTCCTGCAGTTACCCTCTCTGTGTTATCACAGCATTCCCTTTTTGCCTTTTTCGTCCCCTTATGCTACTAATTATCCCCTATACTAAATTCCCTCTGTTAAAATAACTGTTTAGTTTCTGTTTTCCTGATTGGTACAGGTAGACTGACTGATATGCACTGACTAAATGCAACAATGCCTATATTTATCCGACCTAGTATATTGGTATTGATTTCATATATATCTGGAAAAGATTACTTTTCTTTAACTACCAGAAATCTTTGAAATTGGGGTTCTTGTGGGCTATTATAGAAGGAGCACTGAATCAGGAATCTATAAACCTAAGTCCTAGCCCCAATTCTGTCATTGGATTACATACCCTCTCTCAGCCTCAATGTAACTATATAAAGAACACGATAGTACCTACCTCTCTAATTAGTACTATTATTGATATTCTTATATCTCCTGGGATATGCAGTGGGACTAGTTGAAACAACCAGTGGATATTAACATTGTTCCAAATTGCACATATACCTTATAGAAATAAGATGATGGTGTGATTTATGAATTATCTTGGCCAGACACATCAATTTGATTTTAGATAATAACCTTGAACTTGTGTTAAAGAAGTATTAGTTCTTTGAATGCCTGCCTTTATAGCTTTTGCACATGTGTTAAGATTGATTTGAAATAAATGGAATTAAATAATTGATTTCATTAGTGGTCCAAGTGATAGCATAGAATGTAGCCCACCTTGCCATCCTTAGGGGAGTGAGATTCTAATTTGGTGACAGGTCATTGTGGGAGATGCACCTTTTATATCATCTCTTATTCCCATTACTAGCTGTACCAATAAATCCCTTCACCTCCCTGAACCTTGATTTTCTCATCTATACAATGGGGATAATACTTGCTCTGCTTACCTTAGACTTATTTTAAAGATCAAATGAATTGCTTTTCCCTCCCACACTGTGTTGGGGGTCTGTATTCTGGCAATTCCCTCCTACCCACTATCCTCCCTTGCAAGTTGAGACATTTGATCTTTGTTTTCCTGTTTAACCTAAGGATCCAGAAGGCATAGATCCACCCCAGAGAGTTAACCCGACTTTGTCTTCCAAGTCTTCCCAGATGCCAACTAAGGAAGATTCACAGAAAGACAAGGCAGCCTCTTTTCTATCCTAACCATAATTGCTAATACATAATTGCCTCAGTAATTTGATCATCAGCCCGAGTAACAGATATCCCTCCGCTGCACCTGCAAAGTTGATGGAATAGGACAGTGAAAATAGTATCCAACAGAAGACAGAGGGCAAGTTTCTCTGTAACAAGGCCAAGGATAAGGACATTATTGTCTAGAAGGAAAGAAGCAATTGAAAGTTTCTGAAAACTGAGATAGCTCCATCTTAAAATGACCTTATTAGCCTGAAAAAAGAACAAAGAATCTCTTCCTTGCATAATGGTATTGGTGGAAAGAAAAATGAATCAGTAGATGGAGAATTCCGTTGGGAATGTTGATACACCATAGTAAAATCCTTCTGGGAACCTACACTGGGAAAGGATCAGTTGTAGTAACAAGATCCAGAACGTGCCAAGGAATGGTGTCAGCAGCGATCACATTTGCGTAGCCATCCTTTCCTGCTAGTCGTAGTAGGATCACTAAGAGGCAAGACTATGGATGACAAGATTGGGTACCAGTGTTTTTTTTATGAGCTGTAATTTGTCTTTTTCCCTCCTAAGATCTGTTTTCCCTACTTTCATGTACATAATTTATGAAGTATCTGTAGTTTTAATAGCTTACTGATTTTCCAGAGCTTCCTTTTTTGCTTTATTGATTGGCACTAAAAGTATGCTAGGCTTTAAAGTCCTGACAATGATGAGATGCAGTCCAATACTGAGAATTTGCAGCAAAGACACTTGTGGTTAAACAATGTACTGTATAAATAGAGCTTGGTGTTTTTCTGCTGAATCTGGGGAATGCATAATGATTAGTATTAGTTTTCTTTTCTAGACAAGTAGAAAATAATTCTGATGTGCTACTTAAACTTTCCATACCAACTCCAGCCTGTTTGTAAAAATGAAAAGATGCCAGCAACAAAACAAACAAACAAAAAATCAAATGAGACTGAAAAAGAAAAATACCATCCAGTTGTTTGTTGTTGTTATTACCTATTCAAATTCCTGTTCAGTTTGGCCCTTGAATATTTGAGAAGCACACGTATGAAGTTCAGGGGCCATGCACATTGTGTCTCTCTCCAATATTGATCCCTTATACCTATGCATTTTTCTTCTGATGAGGGAGCTAATACCTGTGTATCACAGGACAGTGGTTCATTGTGTATGTACAACAGTAATATGGATTCTTCCCGACTTAATAAGGGTCACTGGCCCTCTTTGGGTTTCTTAGACTAGAGAAGAAGACAGAAACCAGGACGGGAAAATGGACATGTTACATTTTAAACTGGAGCTTCCCCTGCAGTCCACGGAGCATGTTCTTGGTGTGCAACTCATCTTGACTTTCTCCTACCAATTGCATGTGAGTCAATTCCTGAGGGAAGCCTGTCCTCTCCCTTTTGTCTTTTAATAGAACAGATCCCTCTTTCTGATTTCTAGGAAAACCCACACTGTAGAAAAAGGCTCTTTTCTGAGGTGCAGTTTGGGATTTAACTTGGGCAGGTCAAATGTTTTTCATTAGGGCCATATTAATTTATACAATCTCTGAACAGTTCCGAGGGTTCTGGGCAGAGTTCTGCCTGCATGGCCAAGCCAGGTATGTGGGGGACTGTTAGGCTTCCACCACAGACAGGTGACGCTTAGAACCCAGAGCCCTTAAGATCTGACTGAAACTGATCTTGTCTCTCCCTCTAATGATTTCAGAGGATGTCAACCTTCGTGATGCAGAGCATGGCATTTCTTCAATCCTCCTTCGCTATTCCGGGGTCCCAGTTATATGTGAACGGAGACCTGAGGCTGCAGCAGAAGCAGCCCCTAAGCTATGATGGCCTAGACGTGCGATACAACGTAAGGATGCTTCTCCTTGTCCATCTCCTTTTATTTGTATATGTTAGTGTTTACCAGTTCTTTGAAGAGGGAGTAATGGAAGTTGGAAATAGCATTTCTCTGTAGGGGCACAGAAGAGGATTTCTGAGGAATTCCTGCCATGAATTCTTTCAAAATAATGGAGACGGATGTGCCTGTATTTATATCTAGAAAGAAAGGAAAAAAATCTCTGTTTTTAATCTAAGAACCAAATTGTTTAATGCTTTTGGATGCGCACACAGACACACACAGACACACACACACACACACACACCATATTTTAAGTGATCTTTTTTTAGTTATGTACAACATTTCAAAAATAATGCTAACTACCGATTATTGGAGCACATAATCCTGAGTTAAGAGGTTTAAATATATTATCTTTTTTAATCATCACAGCAACCTCAGGAGATGCCTACTCAGCCGTTTCCCAACTCGCCAGCTGCTTGTCCTATCATGGCCCCCCTTGCTCCATTCTAGCCATACTGGCCTTTGTGCTGTTGTTCAAATCCGCAAAGTGGCTCCTGCCTCAGGGCTTTTGCACTGGCCTTTCCCTCTGCCAAGTATCCACATAGCTTATGCTGCCACTCCATTCACTTTCTTTTCAAATACCTCTGAACACAGTCCTTCCCTGACACTTCTTTCTAAAATAGCATTCCCCTCTCTCTCCGTCATTCCTCACTTAGGTTCACTGTTTTACTTCCACCTGAAATATTAAAGATATGTTATTCGTTTATTTGCTAATTCCCTCAATAGTAAAAGTGCTGACATCTATACTTTCACCCCAGTGCTTAAAACAGTGCTGGCACACTATAAGTACTCAGACAGACTTGTTGAAAGAATGAACTCATTTTACACTTGAGGAAACTGGGACTTACAGGGATTAATTAATTTTTCCAAAGTCCCACAGCATGAAAGGAACAGAGCCATGAATTGTCTAAGACCAGAACTCATTCATTTCAACACTTATTGCTACTAACCTTTATTATATCCCAGGGAGGGGGGCATATAAGTTGGGCTGGGCTACTTTTGAAAAGGAAAGAGGAACTTTATCAGTTATTTCAGGTCTGTTCCAGACAAACGTGGATATATGGTCACCCTAGCTATAATCAAGGTCAGTTTTTTATTTGTTTTTTAAAGGAGGACTATACGGTATAAACTTAATATGGCACTTTTTTTTTTAACTTGAAAAAGATTTTTGCTTTTTTTGTGGGGGTTTTTCCCCCCAGCTTTATTGAGGTATAATTGACAAAATTGTAAACTATTTAAAGTATACATCATGGTGATTTGATAGATGAATACATTGTGAAAGGATTCCTTTCAATTAGTTAACACATCCATCACCACACATTTATCTTTTTTGTATATGTCTGAGAACATTTAAGTTCTACTCTCTTAGCAAATTTCAGTTACATAGTGCAGTATTACTAATTGTAGTCATCTTGTTATACATTAGATCCTCAGACTATTCATCTTATAGCTGAAACTTTGTACTTTAACCCTTTCCCTATTGCCCTCGGCTCCCAGCCCCCTGGCAACCAATTTTCTACTCTGTTTCTATGAGTTCGATTTCTTATTTAGATTCCACATATAAGTGAATACCATGCAGTATTTATCTTTCTCTGTCTGGTTTATTTCATTTAGCATAATGCCTTCAAGGTCCATCCATGTTGTTGCAAATGGCAGGAGTTCCTTCTTTTTTCATGTTTGAATATCTTCTTTATCACATCTTCTTTATCCATTCATCCATTGACAGACAGACACTTAGGTTGTTTCCATATCTTGACCATTGTAAATGATGCTGCAGTGAACATGGGAGTACAAATATCTCTTCAATATCCTGGTTTATTTTCTTTGGATATATACCCAGAAGTAGAATTTCAGGATCATGTGGTAGTTATATTTTTAATTTTTTGAGGTACCTCCATACTGTTTTCTATAGTGGCTGCACCAAGTTACAGTCCTACCAACAGTGCACAAGGGTTCCCTTTTCCTCATATCCTTGCCAACACTTGTTATCTCTTGTATTTTTGGTAACAGGCTTTAAGTAATACCTCATTGTGGTTTTGATTTGCATGTCCTTGATGATTAGTGATGTTGAGCACCTTTTCATGTGCCTGTTGGCCATCTATATGTCTTCTTTTTTTTATATATATATTTTATTGATTTTTTACAGAGAGGAAGGGAGAGAGATAGAGAGTTAGAAACATCGATGAAAACATCGATGTTTCTATTCTGATGAAACATCGATCAGCTGCCTCCTGCACACCCCCTCCTGGGGATGTGCCCGCAACCAAGGTACATGCCTTTGACCGGAATCGAACCTGGGACCTTTCAGTCCACAGGCCGACGCTCTATCCACTGAGCCAAACCAGTCAGGGCTATATGTCTTCTTTAGAAAAATGCCTATTTGGTTCCTCTGCTCGTTTTTAAAAATACATATTTTTATTGATTTCAGAGAGGAAGGGAGAGGGAGGGAGAGATAGAAACATCAATGAGGAGAATCATTGATTGGCTGCCTCCTGCACACCCCCTACTGGGGATCGAGCCTGCAACTCAGGCATGTGCCTTGACTGGGAATCAAACCATGACCTCCTGGTTCATAGGTTGACGCTCAACCACTGAATCACATAAGCCGGGCTCTCTGCCCATTTTTAAAATCAGATTGTTTTGCTATTGTGTTGTGTGAGTTTATATCTTTATATATTTTGGATATTAACCCCTTATCAGATATATTATTTGCTAATATTTTCTCCCATTCTGTAAGTTGCCTTTTTATTTTGTTGTGCTTTGCTGTGCTTTTAACTTGACATAATCTCACTTATTATTTTTGCTTTTGTTTGCTTGTACTTTTGGTGTCAAATCCAAAAAATCATTGCCAAGACTGATATCAAGGAGCATACCCCCTATGTTTTCTTCTAGTTTTACAATTTCAGGTTTTAAATTAAGTTTAATCCATTTTTATTTTTATTTTTAATATATTTTATTGATTTTTCACAGAGAGGAAAGGAGAGGGATAGAGAGTTAGAAACATCGATGAGAGAGAAACATCGATCAGCTGCCTCCTGCACACCTCCCACTGGGGATGTGCCCGCAACCAAGGTACATGCCCTTGGCCGGAATCGAACCCGGGACCTCTCAGTCCGCAGGCCAACGCTCTATCCACTGAGCCAAACCGGCTAGGGCAAGTTTAATCCATTTTTAATTGATTTGTATATATGATGTAAGATAGGAGTCTAGTTTCATTCTTTTGCATGTGGCTGTCCAGTGTTCCTAACACCATTTATTGAAGAGACTATACTTTCCCCATTGAATGCTTGGCTCTTTTGTCATAAATTAACTGACCATATATTGGTGGGTTTATTTCTAGATTCTCTATTCTGTTCCATTGATATGTGTCTGTTTTTATGCCAATATCATACTGTTTCAGTTACTATAGTTTTGTAATATAGTTTTATTTTTTCTCCTACTTTTTATTTATTTTGACATATTTTGATATTTCCATAAACTTGTAAGTGGAAGATAAGATGTTCAATAAAAGCCATTTTATATATACAATATACAGAAATTATTTTAAAAGTTTGTTCAACCCGGGCTGGTGGAGCTCAGTGGTTGAGCTTCGACCTATGAACCAGAGGTCACAGTTCAATTCCCATTCAGAGCACATACCTTGGTTGTGGGTTTGATCCCCAATAGGGGGCATGCAGGAGCAGCCAATCAATGATTCTCTCTCATCATTGATATTTCTATCTTTCTCTCCCAACCTCTCTGAAATAAATAAAAATATATTTAATTTTTTAAAAAGTCTGTTCATATAATGGATTCTTTGGATACTAAAAAAATGTTAAGATACAAATAATTGACTAAAAGTGCAATTATCACTAAACCAAGATACACAGGATATGCACTTCATTCCAGGGGTGGGGGGGTCTCAATCTTACAGTGTTAGAAGAATAAAGTACATTTGTCATAGTATACATTATCATATTCCCTTAAAGCAGGGATTAAAGTTTTTAAATTAAAATACTTTCAGGATTACTTCTGTCTGTACATTCAGGAACTATCATTATTTTACTGGTTACACACAATTATCCCATCATACAAAAAATCTCAGTTGTATCCTAAGGTCTGTTTAAGTCAGATAGTAAACTAGTAATAGCAATTTAATTAGCAAGCTAAAATCAGAACAGTGTAGAAATTCTGCAGTTGAATTGTATTTCCTGTAGTATTGCTGCTATTAAATCTGTTTTCTCCATGTATTAAAAGAAAAAAAATAAGCATTGATAGTCAAAATAAAATTTTCATTGTTGTAGTACATGATAGAATATATGAGAGAAAGAAGAGTTCCTAATGTCATGACAATCTTTATGAACCTTTACTAGTGTAAAGGTTAAGGATTATTGTGTGTATATATGTGGAAAGAAATAAGAAACAAAGGCAGGTGGTTAGGACAGGCATATAAAGGGAATGCTGAGACTATATTATTATATTTATTTTTAAAAACTGATCTGAAGTCAGATGTTAGTGTAAATTTAACCTGATAATTTATTTGTGAATAAAGCTAGTTTTTTTTTTTAATCCTCATCTGAGGATGTGTTTATTGATTTTAGAGAGAGGGGAAAGGAGAGAGAGAAACATTGATCAGCTGCTTCCTATATGTACCCTGACCGGGAATCGAACCTGCAACCTTTTTGGTGTATGGGACAATGATCCAACCAACTGAGTTACACGGCAAGGGCAATAAAACTAGTTTGGTGGGAAACAGTTTATTTTTTAAAAATATTTTTATATTTTTATTGATTTCAGAGAGGAAGGAAGAGGGAGATAGAAAGATCTATGATGAGAGAGAATCATGGATTGGCTGCCTCCTGCAAGTTCCCCACTGGGGATTAAGCCCACAACCTGGGCATGTGCCCTTGACTGGAATCAAACCTGGGACCTTTCAGTTTGCAGGCCAACACTCTATCCACTGAGCTAAACTGTCCAGGGCAGTGGGAAACAGTTTAATTCTTTCCTTTTAAACATAAAGAAACTCAAAAGGAATTTTTAAGGTAGTAGGCCAGAAAATGCAACAGTAACTCCTATAATAATCCTTTTCAAATAAACAAATAAATCAAGTTGAGACATGTGTTAAAATACTTTTCAGACTGAGTATTTATCAGCCTATATAATCCAATTGGATTTTGATATTTTATAAGAGCTATTACATCTAGAAGTGAAGAAAATAAATTAGATGCCCTCCCCAAGATATTGTTTAACCTTTAAAGCATCAAAAGCTATATAATATCTTATGCAAATTAACGAGTGTTCTTACAAAAGTAGTACAGTTTGGGACTGATATTATGCTGTATTTGTGGTGAGTAATAGGCACAAGAATATGTATCAATTAGGCATTTTCAGTCTAATTAGTCTCTAAAGTTATTTAATTATTGGTTCCATATAATAACTGGTGTGCATTTTGGTACTTAAGTCATGAATTGTAGAGAACAGGAAGCAGTATGATATAGTAATAGGGTTTGTATCAGACAATCACAGTGTTGAACAAATCTCTTCTACGAACTCTGTGATTTGTTTTGCAGTTGGTTGCCTGTAGTAGATCCTTGATTTGATTCTTCCATATTCATATTTTCTCCAGCTGCAGTTGTTGATATTTCTTCATCTTCCTCCAACTCAAGTAGTTCTTTTGAAATTAATTGCCTAGCTAATTTAAGATTAAGTCCTTCATTATCATGAAGCTTCCTTTTCATTTCAAACTCTAGCTGTTTTTCACTAGCCCGTTTGGAAATTCTGTGAAGCTGGGTCTTTTCTCCCCCCTGCTCATTTCCTACAGAGCACCTGAAAAAGAATAAACAGCAGGTAGTCAATAAAGACTTTTTACCTTCAGTTGAGAAGTCGCTGTCTTCATCTTCACTGCTTTCTTGTTCACGAGCCAGATACTTTGGCTTTGAGCCTTTAGCAGCAGCTAATTTCTTAGCTAACATCTCTGGGTTCAGGACTTCAATGGTTTCTGAATTACCCAGTGCACCTTCATCATCACTTTCCATGCTATTTTCTGGAGTGCTTGGTTCATGTACTTTAATTAAATCTTCGTCTTCTATATAATATGTCGCCACGATGTTCATTTCATCCCACTTCATGGATTTTTTACTCAGTTCGTCGACACTCTTGTTCCGCTGCTGCATTGTCGAGGGCACCAGAGAGCAAGCCATAGAACTCTTGTTCTTTAGAATCCCCTTAATGGGCTGTTGCGAAGCCGAGGCTGCTATGGCCTGCTGCGAGGATGCCATGGCCCGCTGTGAGGCTGCCATGGCCTGCTGCGAGGATGCCATGGCCCGCTGCGATGATGGGCTTAAGGGTCGCTGGTTGGCGCTGGGTCCAGGAAGGAAAGGGCTAGGGGCGAAGGGAGACTGGCCAGGCAGCCGCCGAGCCCACCTGGGGCTAAAGCGCTGCACCTGCTGTCACGGTGACAGCTACTAGCGTCGTTTTCACGACACAAGGACCCCGACCCCGACGCGTTGGCGCCTCCTAGCTGGCGCTGGCGCTGGCGCCGGCGGCTGGCTGCTCTGGGTGCGCCCGTGGTCAACGCACTGTATCCGCGGCAGGCGGAGAAGCCCAACAGCCTGTAATACAGTTTAAATCAGGAAGTTTGATGCCTTCGGCTTTGCTCTTTCTCAAGATTGCTTTGGCTATTTGGGGTCTTTTGTGATTCCATACATTCTTTAGGATTGTTTTTTCTACATCTGTGAAAAATAACGCTGGGATTTCGATAGGGATTCCACTGGTTCTGTAGGTAGCTTTGGGTAGTATGGACATTTTAATAGCATTAATTCTTTTAACACATGAACACAGAGTAACTTTCCATTAATTTGTGCCTTCTTCAGTTTCTTTTATCAATGTCTTATAGTTTTCAGTGTACAGATATTTCACCTCCTTAGTTAAATTTATTTCTATGTATTTTATATTACTTTTGATGCAATGTAATGGGATTTTTTTTGTAATTTCTCTTTCTAATACTTCATTGTTAGTGATTTTGTATATCGATTATGTATCCTGCAACTTTACTAATTCATTTATAAGTTCTAACAGTTTCTTTGGTAGAGTCTTTAGGGTGTTCTATTATATAATATTGTGTCATAGGCCAATAGTGACAATTTTACATCTTCTTTTCCAATTGGGATGACTTTTTTTTTCTTTTTCTTGCCTAATTGCTCTGGTTGAGACTTCATATACTATGTTGAATAAAAGTTGTGAGAGTGGGCATCCTTGTCTTCTTCCTGATCTTGGAGGGAAAATTTTCAGCTTTTCACCATTGAGCATGATATTAGCAGTGGGCTTGTCATATATGTCCTTTATTATATTAAGGTATGTTCCCTCTGTACCCACTTTGTTGAGAGTTGTTTTTTTTTTAATAAATGCATGTTGAATTTTGTCAAATGCTTTTTATGCATCTATGAAGATGATTTTTTTTTAAAATATATTTTATTGATTTTTTACAGAGAGGAAGGGAGAGAGATAGAGTCAGAAACATCGATGAGAGAGAAACATCGATCAGCTGCCTCCTGCACACCCCTCACTGGGGATGTTCCTGCCTCCAAGGTACATGCCCTTGACCGGAATCGAACCTGGGACCTTTCAGTCCACAGGCCGACGCTCTATCCACTGAGCCAAACCGGTTAGGGCTATGAAGATGATTTTTTAAAAATATTCTTTTATTGATTTCAGAGAGGAAGGGAGAGGGAGAGAGAGATAGAAACATCCATGATGCAACAGAATCCTACACACACACACACACACACACACCACTGCAACCGGGCATGTGCCCTTACCAGGAATCAAACTGTGAACTCCTGTTTCATAGGTTGAGACTCAAGCACTGAGCCACACCAGCCAGGCAAGATTTTTATCCTTCATTTTATTAATGTGGTGCATCACATCTATTAATTTGCGGATGTCGAGCCATCCTTGCATCCTTGGAATAAATCCCACTTGATCATGGTATCTGATCCTTTTAATGTATTGTTGAATTTGGTTTGCTAATGTTTTGTTGAGGATTTTGCAATTCTGTTCATCAGGAATATTTAGCTGTGATTTTCTTATAGTGCCTTTTTTACTTTGTTCACGCATTATTCTCCTGACATCAGTGAGCATCTTTGTGACTGATATTTTAAATTCTTTTTTCAAATAAGTCACTTATCTCCATTTTATTAAGGTCTGTCTCTGGAGTTTTACCTTATTCTTTTGTGTGGAACATATTCCTCTATTTCTTTATTTTCCTTGACTCTGTTGGTTTCTGTGCATTAGATAAAACATCCCTCTCTCCCAATCTTGACAGAGTGGACTCAGGTAGGAAATTAATCTTTACCAATCAGCTCAGCCAGAGTTCTTCGTTGCTGTCAAGCCTTTGTCATTTTCCAAGCTGCCTTCAGTGTTCTTGTGGCTCCTAGTAGTTGAGGGTTTGCTAAGATCATTTCAGTGTGGGTGATGTGGATATTTTCTCATTTGCCCAATGTGTAGGAGTCACTCAACTAAGTTTCTGAATTTCTTTCAGAGGGAATTTCTCCATGTATAATTGTAGATTTAGTTAGTCAGTGGGAGGAGGTCAGTTCAGGAAGTTCCTTTGTTGCTATCTTGGAATGGAACCCTTTTTTTTTATTTCACTTTTTTGTTGTTGTTTTTAATTGATTGCAGCGAAGGGAAGGGAGAGAGAAAAAGAGAGAGAAACATCAATGAGGAGAATCATTGATTGGCTGCCTCCTGCATGCTCCCGCTGGGGAACAAGTTCAAAATCTGGGCATGTACCCTGACTAGGAATCAAACTGTGATCTCTTGGTTCATGGGTTGATGCTCAACCAGCCAGGCTATTTTACATTTTTAAATATCTCCCTTAAGTCTTCAGCATTTGAATCTGCCTTCACCTAGAAACCCACAGCACTTTTTATTCCCATATCAATGGGAATATGATACTAGGGGGCAGGAAGTCATTTCCTTCTTCAGAGGATTATATGCTTACTATTTGCACTTTATCCTTTTTCCAAATCTACATTTGAAAGATCATCTAGAGAAGAGCAAGGACAAGACAAAGGAGTTGAAAATATGGTCTATTTTTAAAAATTAAAGGATTTATTTCTGACATTGGAATAGAGAGAGGTATTTTATAAATAGCTTAAAAACCTATGAAAAGTAGATATTGACCCCTTGTTTCCATCCCACAAGTGGTAAGATTGAGAGTAAATAAATTATTGTAAGACTGGAATAGGTCACCAAGAACAAGAAGGTGGTCCTGGGTGGGCAGGAGGGTAGAAAGACCAGAGAAGAAGCTGTTCCGGTGCTTACATCGGGGCCTCCTCCTATATCCCAGGTGTCTGTCATCAACGGAACCAGTCCTTTTGCCTATGACTATGACCTCACGCATATTGTTGCTGCCTATCAAGAAAGGAACAGTGAGTAAATTTCATTCAGGTGCTTCACAAAGACTTCCCAGGTCAGTGGGGTCTTTGGAGAGAAACAGAATTGGAATCCTTATCATGATGAAAATGTCAAAACCAATGAATGCTCAGTGATGTGAGACAAACAGGCAACCCAGGGCTTGTCCTTTTTCCTCCTGATCTAAAGACCCACAATCTACGCAACCCCCACTTCTATGCTCCATCAGGTTAGTGCCAATTAATTGCCATATCTATTCCACCACTGGTTTGATGGATTTCCTTTTTTAAAAATAAGCTTAATTGAGGCGCTCCATTTACTTGTAAAAGAAGCCAAAGACAAGTTACTGTTTCTAGTTTTCAGATGGAAATAGGGAATGTGAGTGACTCACCCCATACCAGCAATTGAATTAGGAGAATAGATGCGATGCACCCAAGGCTCTGGCTATAAGGCAGAATGTGTCCGTCCCTTACTGAGGTGAGGCTCTTAGGCCATCCCATGCACTTGACTTGGCCTGCTTGGCTGGTTGGTGGTCTGAGGTTTTCTCTAAAGGCATGTTAAGTATTGCTCGGCAACCAGACATCGTGGATACTACGCACAGACACTTAACAAGTGGCGGGACTGCAATTCCAGTATTTCTTTCTGATTTTATGTAATACATGAACAGCATTATTTTAAAAATAAATTTTAAAACAAAAAAAACATTGAAACTAAACTAAAACACTACAAATCAAGTTTTTAAATTTTTTTTCTTCTAGTCTTTGTCTATATGCAAATCTCTTTTATTTTATTTTTTCAGTTGATTTCAGAGAGGAAGGGAGAGGGAGAGAGATAGAAACATTAATGATGAGAGAGAATCATTGATCGGCTTCCTCCTGCACACCCCACACTGGGGATCCAGCCCACAACCCAAGCATGTGCCCTTGACCAGAATCAAACCCAGACCCTTCAGTCCGCAGGTTGATGTTCTATCCACCGAGCCAAAGTTGCCTGGCTATATGCAAATCTTTTTATATAGCTGCTATCATAATTTAGAGAGACTTTTGGATCCAGTTTATTTCTTTTTGTTGTTGTTGTTAATCCTCACCCGAGGATATTTTTTCCATTGGCTTTTAGAGAGAGTAAATGGGAGGGAGGGAGAAAAAAAAATCCTTGTGAGAGAGACATGTTGATTGGTTGCTCCCATACATGCTCCAACCGGGGCTGGGGATCAAACCTGCGACCCTTTGGTCTGTGGTTGACTCTCTAACCACTGAGAAAAACTGACCAGGGCCAGTTTATTTCTATTTACTTTGTAATATAAATATTTTTCCCATGTTGCTACAAAGTTTTAATTGGTGTTATTTTTAGTGGTAGCATAGTATTCCTTTGCTTAGCCACTCAACAACTACAGAAGAACACATAGGCTGTTTCCACATTTTTTTAACATAAGTGTTTTGACAAGTATTTTAACAAAGTGTAAGCAACTTTGCATATTCAATTTCACTTCTTTCCTTTTAAATCATTTCTTAGATATGAGTTTTGAAGTACAGAATTTGCCTGAGAGGTCAAAAGAGTATTTTCATAGCCCTCAATTTTTTTAAAGTTTATATGTATTTTTTTAATTAAAATATTTTTATATATGCTATTGTTAATTTCAGAGAGAGGAAGGGAAAAGGAGAGATAGAAAGATGATGAGAGAGAATCATCGATCAGCTGCCTCCTGCACAACCCTAGTGCGGATCGAGCTGGCAACCTGGGCATGTGCCCTGACTGACCTCCTGGTTCATGGGTTGATGCTCAACCACTGAGCCACACCAGCTGGGCATAGCCCTCGATTTTATTGCCAAAGAGAGCATTTATGGATTAATTCCTGATTGTATTGCAGTAACCACCATCCTGACTGTCCCCAACCCCATCTGGCTGGTCGGAAGGGCTGCCGAAGCTCCATTTGTGATTAATGCTGTCATCAGATACCCTGTGGAAGTCATTTCATATCCTTTCTGCTAAGAAGCCAACAGTAGCTCAGTTTCAAAAAAGGAAAAAGGATTCCTCACTTGTCCCAAGGAGAAACAGATGTGGGAAGCCTTAAGTTGAAATTGCTACAGCATTGCAGCCCCACACAAACCACTCTGTCTGCTATTCATACGGGGGTGGGGGCTGGGGAATTCATTTCCTGTTCCTATTTCTTTATGAGCAATTTTTCTAGGTCAGAATCATCCATATTTATGTCCTAATAATCTTTTGTTATCCCTTTTATCTTAAAGGTATTTGAAACATTTTTGCCATATCCTGTCTAAACTTACCCGTTTACCGGTAACATTTACTTAGAAAATGTCATCTGAGATTCCTTAACTGTGTATACTTATCTACCAGGATTCTGGGAAATTATAAAGTTTGCCTGGATCCAGTATGTCAGTATCTTACTTATCTTCCTCTGGGTGTTTGAAAGAATAAAAAGATTTGTGTTTCAAAATCAAGTGGTCACCACAATCCCTGTAACAGCAATGCCCCAGGGAGAACTCTATAAGCAGCACTTGTCGTAAGAAGACCATGACTCTAAGCAGGACCTGGCTACCTCATGTTGTCTTCTGAGAACTGCCACCTTAGGACACTTCTGAAAAGGGCCATGGGCATGTGCCAGCATGTGTGTTTTTCCTACCAGCGACAAAGAAGAATTCTTTCTAATTTTTCTCTACACAAATTCCATATCTTCTAAGTGCCTACCAAAATCATCAGAGACTAGTTTGTGGGAAGGTCTGAAAAGGCTATAATTTGTTCTCCCGCCCCCCTTTTTTTGCCCTAGACTTGAATTTTAAGAGAAAACTATAATCAATTGAGACATGTTGGAAAGAGTATCACCTCTAGTCAAGCAGACTTTTGCTTCCTTGAACCAAGAAACATGCTATGCATTTCTTCCCCCGATTGTAAAGCACTTTTGACTCTTTTCAGGGCTCTCAGAACAGATATGCAAATCATTAGCATTTCCCCCATTCAGAACTTTGATTTCCAGAACTGAGAGGCCTTTAACTGGAGAACTAGAGAGAGAGGGAGTGCTCAAGAACATGTGTGTGCCCCCACGTGAGGGTGGGCAACTTGAGGACACTAGGACCATCCACCTGCCCTCAGTCTAACAGACATCTTCTGTCATCAGCTCAGCTGAAAAGCCCTTTATCCTGCCCTTATGTGGCTGGCTCTTTTCCCTGCCTTTTGCTCTCTGTCTGTGCCCCTGGAGTAGCAGGCTGAAGTCAGAAGTGCTGTTTTCATTCACAATCCTCTGGGCAACTGTGTGGGGAATAAGGATTGTAACTTTTTTTCTCTCTGGCCCTCACCCAACAGCCTGGACACTTGCCACTCCTCCTTCTCGACAGCCTCTCCCCCTTCCTGAAAAGGACATGGGTGACAGAGGACCTGTTGTTGGTATTGGCTCCCTGCCCAACAACCAGAGTTTATTTGGAGGGCTAGCGGGAAGCCCAGCTCCTTGTATTTCCCTTGACTAAGGAACAGGGTGCCCATCGGAGCAGGCTGCTTTGGGAGGGACGCAAGGAGCAGTGCGGGGAGAAAGAGGATGCTAGCCCCCGCAGCTCAGTCCAGCCTGGCCCAGAGCAGAATGGCGGGCAGTCCAGTCAGATGACGCTCATGACTAAGCGAGTGTCTGCAGGAGAAGAGTGCTGGGACAGGTCTTTGTTACACACAGAGACTGATTTCTTTTCGTCCTAAGAAAACATGGGGTTCCTCAGAGGATGGATAGATCTGCTTTATGATCCCGAGATGTCATTGGTACTGAAAGGACACACCCACTATGACCTGTGCTTCAGGCCCATTCATAAACACACACGTCAGTGTGTGCCTCAGTTTACCTTGGAGATTCAGTTTTTATTTCCAAACCACCTTTTCTTTCAGGCTGACTAAAATAAGTATTTTGGAAACAAAGCTATTTTGAAGTGTTCAAGCACACAAAATCCTAACAGTGGCCCCTCTGGTTTTTCTTTTAAACTTTAGGACTGCTTATTTATATGTCTAAAATTTTTTTGAGATTTCAATCAATGAAAATTGGTTGCTGAATTTTCTGAATTACAAAAAGATAAGGAGATATGGAAAGACAGCTAAAGATGTATAGACATTGCTTTGCATTTTATTAAATTGTTTTAATGTAATGTAAAATTTGTATAACGAACCATGTGTTTCATAACTTTCTAATTAAAATGTTCAAGATGGAGGCTGCATGTGGCTTTTTAGAGGGGACGGGTTTGGAAAGGGGAAGAGTGGGGAGGGCAGAGGTAGCACACATTTCTCCAAGTTACTCACCAGCAGCCTTGCTTTGCCAGGGTTCTGCTCAAAGACCTTGGAGCTTTTGTTAGCTCTTTGGCCAAAGTCCCCTGGTCCAGCCCCAAGTAAATGTGAGTGTTTGGTGGAATCCACATTGCATGTGGAAACCACAGGCTGGAAAATTACAACTGTGTCTGATGAATGTCATATTTACAGATCAGATATTCGTAGCTTCTGAACCTGAATCACACAGTGTAGTTGCAAGAGAAAACGTGAGAAATATACAGGATTTTATCCACTGACCTGTAACCAATAGCTAAGTCAGGTTACTCAATATTTGGAATAACTAGTTTTAAAGTGTCTTCCGGGGCTCCAGCCTCACTTACTCCCCACGTGGCTCCACTGTGGAGTGGAACTTGGAAGAGACGACAAGAAGCCTTTACGCAGCCTCACTCAATATTTGGAGGGGGCGATCCCTAATTTTGTGAAATGATTATCCAGTTTCTGTTTGAATCAGGTGAGGCCCTTAAGGCCCCGCTTGGGTCCCATCGTTAAGGTAAACAAAGCAATTCTATATCTTCCCCTTTCTCTCATGTTCATGCTTTTATTTATTTATTTTTTTAAAATATTTTATTGATTTCTTACAGAGAGGAAGGGAGAGGGATAGAGAGCTAGAAACATTGATGAGAGAGAAATATCGATCAGCTGCCTCCTGCATACCCCCCACTGGGGATGTGCCCGCAACCAAGGTACATGCCCTTGACCGGAATCAAACCCGGGACCCCCGAGTCCCCAGGCCGAGGCTCCATCCACTGAGCCAAACCGGTTAGGGCATGTTCATGCTTTTAAAAAGAAGTTTCTTTCTGATCAGAGCAGTTCTAAATGTCTATTGGGGGAAATGTGTAATTAAACCTAAAGAAAATAAAGTTGTAACTTCACTACCCAGAAGTTACCACTGTTGGCATTCTGGTACACATATTTTGTTATATATATTGCTGTCATACACTTCTTTGAACCCTGTGTACAAATCCTCATTGCTGGTTTATTTCCTTAAGATAGATCCTAGAAAGGAATTATTCAGAAAACTTATGACTGTTCTTAAGGATTTTAACTCATCTTGCCAAGCCACAGCCTGGAAAGAATGCACTAATCTATACTCTCGCAGCAGACTTCTTTTAGAACCCACCACGGATTCCCAGAGGTCAGAATTGTCTATCATTTTCAGATGCCTGGACTCTGCTCTTTTATCTGGAGTGGGGGGGGGGGGGGGGGGGCGATCTGCTTTATTTACTGAAACGTATCCTGTGTTTATCTGGGGATTCGCTGCCTTCTTGGCTAGAGCAGGGAGGGGACGAGAGGGGACAGCCACCCAGCTTCGGGCCTAGTTCCTGAGGGCCACCTGGTGTCCCAGCCCCTCGCAGCTCCACTACTTCGTGGGTTCACCTGGCATCAAGGTGCCTTGTACTTGGCTTAGGGCTGAGGCTGGGGCCTTGGGAAGCTGGTTTGGATTCCAAGTCACTTCGCTGCGAGAATGCCACCGAGAGCGAGGAGGGGCAAAATTAAGATTAATTTTTTTCCTTCACAAGGGCCTTTTGTGCTCCTGGGAACCTCCCTTTTTGGGGCTGTTTTGGTCAATTAGTGAGATGAGAGGTGACTCTGCTAGAGCCCTCCCCCAAACAGTGCGCCTCCTGCAACTCCAGAGCCCACCTGTGCCTGCTCTTACCCGGGGCCCTCTGGCGCCCGCCCCTGGCCAGCTGTCCCACCCCCAAGGCGTGGCCCCCCGGCCCGTGTGGGGCTGGGAGTCTGAG